CCTCCTCCTCCTCCTCCTCCTCCTCCTCCTCCTCCTCCTCCTCCTCCTCCTCCTCCTCCACCGTGGGGGCTGTGGGAGCCGCTGGAGGCCCACAGGCCCATGAGAGGCCACGGCCGGCCAGCAGAGTCCCCCCTGGCGGCCCTAGCGGAGCACGACGGGCGTCGGGCAGGACCGTCGAACTGCACAGTCGACCAGGAAAGTTAAAGGGGCCCTGGGACACACAAATAAATACACACCAATAACAGGAGTCCCCATAATTTCCAATATATTCTGGGTGTTTGTCTTCCCCCCCCCCCACCTCCCATATGTTCCCACAGTTTCTGGGGAATCGATGATTAGTTGTGTCTGTGCTTTTCCCCTGTTGAATAGTAAGGATGCGCGGTAAGGATGCAAATAGGGAGCCGAACTCTATACACCGACGCGTTCTCGGACCCGGCATTGAAATTCGCACATGAAAGCGGATCCTGGTGTACACGGGGCCCTGGTGTATAAATGATTTGCTGTTCCCCCGGGGAACGGCTTTAAAAAGTATGCACCACACCACCCCGACGTCGTCCCCGACCCTCATAAAGCCCTGAAATCGAAAGACGGCCAGCCACTGGTAATGTATATGTTCCAGTTTCCGAGCACGGGCCTTGGAACACCATGTTGACGTTTTCCGCGCGGAGCGCAGCAGGATGCCGAATACCGAAGGGGCAAGGATGCAAGGGTAGCCTTGGAAAATTTCCCCATCCTTACTATCATGGTTGACTGTAATGTCATGTGGGCGATTTCGGAAACCCTGAGCCCGAAAACGTGTTCATCTCCTGGGGGCGCATTTCCTACTTCCGCCACATCTTCCGCCGAGCCTTCCGCCGGCTTCCGCCGACGGAGGCGGCCTCGTGGTACTTCCACCGACCTTCCGCGGCGGAAGAGATGACAACTCCTTCGATCCTCGAAAGCAAGACCAATTTCAGAACGCCTCAATTGTCGGGGATATGAGTGACCCAGGTCAATCCAGACCCGGGTCATTCAGGCTCTGCACCCAAGCCCGGGTCAATGCGATCCTGGCTCTGCAGGATCCTGCAAGGTCCGGCGCTCTGGCTGACCCCGTTTGCATTGACCCCCGTCTCAAGGCGCCCGAATGTGCATGTCCCGAGAGCGTCCGGCCCGGGGAACGGTCCCCAACATTGCTGTGCGATGTGGCCTCCCCTGGCTGCCCGGCCGGATCCTCCGAGAAGCCCCCCACGCGGGCCCCTGAGAGTGAAGACAACTCGGCGGATGAGAGCGTTGGGCTCTTCGGGCCTCCAAGCCGGGCCCTCCAAGAAGCCTCACGCGGGGCTTCAGAAGAGAGGCCAGCTGCTGCGGACGCCCGAAATGGGTCCGGAAAAAAGGGGCACAGTGCCCGACCACAAATGTTGCCCCACCAGAAAAAAAAGCAGCCGCTGCTGGGCAGGCGGCCCTCTGTCTCAAATGGACAAGTCCTCGGAGACACCGGCAAGTCCTCTCCAAAATGAACGGGAAGTGCTGTCGGTCTTTGTCAGCCAGGGCCTTGGTAGGCCATGCTGACACCTTGCGGGCGGGGCGCGGCCAGCGAAAGCGGCCACGGATGTGCCGAAGGGGAAGGATGCAAGGGCAACCCTGGAAAAATGCTCATCCCTATGATACGGGCTGACAGTGCCCATTCTCTCTGGTCCATCCCCTACATCTGCAGACGAGACCCGCGCCTTCTGAGAAACGGGGGTGTTTCTGAGAAGCCTTCCCCCCTCCCCCATACACCCCTATGCGCGTGGCCGATGCCGTCGGTCTTTGTGTCCGTTATTAGAAGGACATACACATAAAAACTCGGAGGTACGCGCGGACTTCTCGGACCCGCGCTGGACCCCCCTCCCTGGCGCGCGGAGCGCGCCAGGGGCGGCGCCGGAGGCGCCACCAAGGGAGGCCCCAGCGCCGATCCGAGAAATCCGCGCGGACCTCCGCGATGTTATGTTCATGTCATTCTTCGTTTCCCTACCCTACCCCTTCTGCGCGTGGCCGATGCCGTCGGCCGTTGTGCCCATTCTCTCCGCACCCATTTCCATCGCCCAGAAGCCTTCGAGGAGGACCGTCTTTCCCTGCAGCCAGGCCCGGGGGAGGCGGCTTCCCTCGCGCTGGCCAGTGCGATCTGGGGCCTCGCCTAGCCGGTCCCGCCGGGCCCTCAGAGGAGCCCCACACGGGGCCTGCAAGTGAGTCAGTGAGCAAGTACGTAGGCAAGCAGGTAAGAGGCTTGAGAGGCCAGTAAGCAAGCATGTAAGTAAACAGGTATGCAAGCGAGCAAGGAAGAAACGAGGGAAACAAGAAAGTCAGTAGGGAGGTAAGGAAACAGGTAAGTCAGCAAGTCGGTAAGTAGGTCAGCAAGATGGCCGAGCATCCAGCAGGACGCGTGGGCTGGTCGGCGGGACCACTCGTGGCTCTCGCCGCGACTCGCTGCGGGAAGGAGAGCTTCTCCCTCGGCCCGCCCTGGGGGCGGTCCCCGGCGCTGCCGTGCCCCCTGTGGCCTTCCCTGCCCGCCCCGCCGAGCCGGGCCCTCTCTGCGAAGCCCCCCCGCGGGGCCAGAGAGGCAGCGACGGGCTCCGAGGACGGAAGCGCCGCCCTCCATGAAAGTAGGCCCGCGGGCGGTCCCCCGCGCCGCTGTGCGACCTGGCCTCCCAGGGGCCGTCCTGCCGGCCCGCCTGCAGGAGCCGGACGCGCGAGTTGGCGGCGCGCAGAGGGGGGTGGGGGGAGGGGGGAAGGCTTCTTAGAAGCGGGCCTCCTCTGTAGACGTAAGGCCCGCGCCTTCTAAGAAGCAGCCTCCTTCTAAGAAGCCGTCCCCCTCCCCCCACCCCCTTCTTCTCGCCGCCAAGCGAGGCCCTGAAAGCGATGGCGGCAGCGGCGGGCGTGCGTGCCCCGTCCCCTCGCTGGCCCAGGGGGCTGCCCCCACACGCCGCGGTGCGGCTCGGCCTTCCCTGGCCGTCCCGCCGTGCCCCTCCCAGAAGCGCCGCGCGGGGCCCGAGGAGCGGCGACGGGTTCAGGGACGAGAGGTTGGCCGTGGATAGACAAGCGCGTTCCACTGCTCGCAGAGTGACGACTCGCAAATGGCCTGGCTCCGCCGAGGAGGGTTCACGATCCATTACATCGAGGCGAACACGTTTTTTTGGCGTGTAGTGGAACGCACCCAGTGAGTGGAGAACACGGGCGCGGGGAAGTGTGAAAAAAGACGACGCTGTCGCGCTTGAGGGCCCAAACCGTGCCGGACACTCCCCAGCGGACAGCCTGGTCCCCCACGAGACGGTGCGATTTAGCTTCACCCCCCCCGTGGGTTGCCGGGTTGACTGGTTGGCGGGGTAGCTGCATAGGCTGGTTGGCGGAATGGCTGCTTGTTTGGCTGCTTGGGCTGGTTGGGCTGGCTGCGGTGGGGTAAATGGTTTCCATGCGTTTTCCTCCCCCTCCTCCTGCCAACCGTCCTTCCTCCCTCCCTCCCTCCCTCCCTGCTGCCTCCGTCCTTCCGGCACCCGTGCCACTGGGTCCCCTTCCAACAAAAAAATAGGCGGGTAGCCTCCCGTGCGTCACCCTGGGCTCGACCCTGGGGGAAAGAAACAAAACAGTCGCAGGCTCTCCAAGCCTGCGCCGCATAGGAAACGACTGGGCCCTGGGGTCTGGGGCTAACACCGCCTGGCCGTGCGCGTCCAAACGAGAGCGGTCCAAAATCTCGGAGCTCCATTACTTCTACCGTTACGGAGATAAAACTACCCAATTGAAGGGGGGGTGCGGCGAGCAGCACGGCACAGTCCTATTCGCTGCACGCGAATGTAGGACATTTTGACCAAATAATTTGAAAAATGAGTTGGTCGCCGGGTCACTTCAACCAATAAATTGATCGTCGGAGGCTCATGGATCCGTGCCGCCACCTGGTCCTCACTGGGCAAGGGACTGGTGGGGGTAGCTCTGGGCGCCATGTCTAAACGGGCCAGGTGACCCGCCTGGATGTTCCAGGATCCCGACCTCATTGAGGCAGAGGCTTGGGTTGGCAGCTTTGGAGCGGTGTCGTTATCTGACCGCACGGAGGTACATACTTGGTGATGCTGTCATGCCTTGACAACACCCTTTGTTATGTAAACGTTTTCGCCCGCGCAACCGAGCTTCCCCCGCTCGGGTTGCGCCTGCTCTCCCTACGACGTCTGCCTTGGCGGTAATCCTGGTAATCCTAGCCTCTCCCTTCCTTCCTTGCTTCCTTCCTCCCTCTTCCATGTTATTCCTCCTGTTCGTCCTGCTGCTGCTGCTGCTGCTGCTGCTCCTCCTCCTCATGCTCCTCCTTCTCCTCCTCATCCTCCTCCTCCTCATCCTCCTCCTCATCCTCCTCCTCCTCCTCCAGTCGCACAATCCTGAATGTCTTCGGATTGTGATTTAAGCTCGAGCTACTTCGAGCTTCGGCTCGACATCGTCTCGCCGCCGCCTCCTCCTCCTCCTCCCGCACCTCCTCATATTCCTCCTCCTCCTTCTCATCCTCCTCCTCCACTTCCTCCTCCACCTCCTCCTCCTCCTCCTCTTCGTGGAGCCGCCCAAAAAAGAGGCGGCCGCCTCCAGCCCAGCACAGATACGTACGCGTGTGCATGTGCGCCTTGCGCCGCAGGTTTTCTCGCGCGCAGGTCCAATTGACTCGTGCTGTTGTCCGCAGCTTCTGTGACTGAGCAGTATGCGCGTGATGGTGTGTGCTCTTTTGATGTCTTCATTCACGTCGTGCGTTCACGCGTTGCTTCATTGCTCCTCCTCCTCCTCCTCCTCCTCCTCCTCCTCCTCCTCCTCCTCCTTCAAGAGCCATTCCTCCTCCTTCGTCCTCACTCCTCTCTTCCTTCCATTCAGCTTTCTGCAACTTCCTACGTCCCCCATGCATTCGTCCCTCCCGTCCCCCTCCTCTCTCGATCTCCTCCTCCGGTTCCTCCTCCTCCTCCTCCTCCTCCTCCTCCTCCTCCTCCTCCTCGTCCTCCTCCTCCTCCATCTCCTGATCCTCCTGCTCCTCCACCTCCTCCATCTCCTGCTCCTCCTCCTCCTCCTCCACCTCCTCCTCCTCCGCCACCTCCTCCTCCTCTTGCAGCCGAGCAAGTCGGGGTATGTTGCGTCGAGTGTGGCCACCGAGAAAATGTTGCCTTGGCTGGCCGCTCACTTGGTAGGCTAGGGCACATGCGAAACGTAGGGCACGATCTTCATGGTAGGCGTGTGCTCCGCGTGATGGAGGCTCGCAGACTGAAGCAGTTCGACCTCCGCAAGCAACGGCTTCGAGCTTTGCGGCAAGCGGCTGGGGGGGAAAGGTGTCGGGTCCTCGAAGGACGGGACTCATGCCGTGCGGCAATCATGGCGCTGCGGTGTCAGGCGTCACGGACGCCACAAATCGCTGTCTTCGGTCGCTCGCTGCCTCTCATGGGAGCTCAGAGTAGGAGCCGTGTCACGCCCCACCTCTGCACGCACCGTGACCCCTCGTACGACCCAGTGGTAGACGCTACTGTTCCTCTTATGTTCAGATACTGCGTTCTTGTGTGAAGAGGGGAGGACGAGGAGGAAGAGGAGGAGGAGGAGGAGGAGAGAGGAGGAGGGAGGAGGAGGAGGAGGAGGGAGGAGGAGGAGGAGTAGAAGGAGGGAGGGGGAGGAGGAGGGGGAGGAGGAGGAGGAGGAGGAGGAGGAGAAGGAGGAGGAGAAGGAGGAGAAGGAGGAGGAGGGACTCGGACCTTTCATGCGCATGGGGACACGAACCTGCGTCTTCAAACTAGACTCCCCCCCTGGTCGAAGGACCGGGGCCCATGAGAGCCGTGATCCGTTACCTGAAGCGTGTGGAGTGTGAGACTGCAGCTCCCACGTACCACATCAGGACAGATTGCGCGTGGGGGGGGGAGCGTGTGCTCCTGTCCTTACAGCGTGTGGGGTGCATCGCAGTGTGTGGGTTGGGAGCGTGTGATCCTTTCCTCAAAGCGTCTGGGGTGCATTGCAGCGTGTGGGGTGGGAGCGTGCGATCCTTTCCTTGAAGCGTGTGGGGTGAGAGCTGCGATCCCTTCCGCTCCACACCAGGACAGGTTTGCAGCGAGTCGTACCCCTCTTCAGGACGTCTCCCTGCGATGTGAGGCTGCTGCTGCGCGAGGGCAGTAGCCGAGCCCGGGGAATCCAGAACGTGTCGAGTCTCCCCGAGGCCCAGGGGGGCACGAGGTCGTCTGGGCTCGGGCCTTGGTGCCCGTCGCTCCGGCCTGCGTGCGCTTTCGGGCGGTGCAATATTCGGGTCGGGTGAAAGGGGGGGATAGCAAAGGGGGGCACGGGAGGCGCCGGGAGGCGCCCATGTATCGAGGAATGGGCCCCTCGGTGAGGCCGAAACCAGCTGCATGCAGCAAATTTCGTAACCCCCCTTTCCCGATCCCCCCCTTTCGCCCAGCCCGAAATATGGCCGCCTGCACGCAAGTTTCAGCACTGATACGCTAGTAGCAGCAAGTGCAATTTCTGTGACCATCAGCAGGCCACTTTCGGACGCGAATTCTGTGAGCGCGAAGGGCTCTGGGCTGCCAGCGACGACCCAGGCGTAGGTCCTGTGATGCCAGACGCATGCTTCCAGCATCGGAAATGGTTGAAGGAGCAGGCCCACGGGGTCCCTGCCGACTTCGACACCCCTGAGTTGGTTTATGGGTTGCCCTCTCTCTCTCTGTCGAGATCCCGCCAGTGGCCGGAAAAGCTGTTGGCGTTTCTTGGGGAGCGACGTCCGCTACCTGGTGTTGTCGACTCTGCACGGACGGGAGCGGCCTGGCGTCGAGAACCCCATGATGCCACCCGATGCGGCTGGTCTGTCGTGACCCTCGGGCCGACTACGGTCAGGTCGGGCGCGTCCCCCCACAAGCGGATTTAGGGCGAAAAATCAAAAATACTCCAAAAAAATACCCCCAAAATAATCAAAAGTATTCAAAAAATCATCCCCAGGCTATTCTTTTACTATTTTTGAATTTTCCTCCTGTAGAGGGACAGGCCCGACTTAAGACTACGCGGGGGGGGGGTCCAAGAGGCGGGGGGGGAGGGCAAATCATGACTGGCGGCATGTGCGCGGCCCAGCGGGCCCCCACCATGATATCCACCCCCCCCCTAGTCATCACCCCCCTCTTTGCCGCCCCCATCTTGGGACCTCGAGTTGGCACCTGGCTCGGCCGGGCGCGCTGCGATGTGGAAGCACGCTTTCGACCTGCATGAGCACAGGCCCGAGCGGCCGAGATTCCGCTGGACCCCCGCCCACCCTGAGGTGGAGCAGGTCCTCGCGGACCAGGCGTTTCACGGAGAGACGGTTGGGCCAGAGGGTCGTGGACTGCACCGGAAACTCCTGGGCCGATGTCGTTGCGCGGCTCGGGGCAGCGGGGCGCGGCTTGCCAGAGCTCGTGACTGCCCAACTGCGCGAGAGGCCGAAGGAGTGCTGTCGAACGCTCGAGTTCGTTTCGCGAGCTGCGCGGCATGCTGCTGCGTCGGCTCCTGATTCGCCTGCGCCCACACGGGCGCGCGAGGACGCGGTCCCCCAACTCGCTTCGACTTCGCGCGACTTGGAGGCTGTCGAGAGGGTGGCTGGGGGGCATCAGATGCACGTTGGTGCCACTGCTCAGCGCGGACGCTTACGAGCAGGAAAAAGCTCAAGCAGCATGGCGCAAGTTGCTGCCCGTCGCCGCTCCACCTCTTGTTGTCCGAAGTGCGCGCCTGGCGGCAAGGAGTCGCCCTCCGTAGGGCGCGATGTGTTGCCGTCCAGGATGCCCTCAAGGCGCTGGAGCTCGAGGCCTCCGCTGAGGCCCTGATGGAGCCTCCAGGGACCTTCGTCTATAAGGGCCATGTCGTGCAGGCTGCCGGGCGCTGCCTTATCTGCCGCCGCTGCGCGGCGCACTGTCTCATCGAGGCGCGCCGTCTTGGCACAAGCTGCTCGAACCCTGCCAGGGCACCGCGCTCTCGTGCCAAGCTTGGCTCAGGGATGAGGTCCTGGAGGGACACGAGCCGGGCCCGATGGCCCGTCTGGGGCAGACTCGGCGCCGAGCGTCGGAGCTGCTCCGGACTGGCTGATGGAGTGGCTCGTGCGCACACGTGTGCGCTTTCAAGGGTCGGACTGTGCTGACGTTCGAGGCTGCACTGCCACCCTCTCTCTCAGGCATGATCTCTCCTCGCCCGCTCGGCTAGTTTCCGTACCGTCGGATGCTGGATCTTGATTCGCCTTCGCCCTCCTCCTTCTCCTCCTCTTCCTCCTCCTCCTCCTCCTCCTCCTTGCTTTCCCTCGGGAGCAGAGGCGCCTGGCGCGCGCGTGGGGCCGTCCTTGAGCATGTCCTCCGCCTCGACCAGGCTGCCCCTGTCCTCCGCGATCTTCATCTTCAGGGTGTCAATGTCGGTCTCCAAGCTGCTGATCTCCCCCTGCGTGAAAACGCGGGAGAGCAGACTGGCCAGGGGGAAGAAGGGGACGGGGGCAGGCACAGGATGAGAGGAAGAGGGATAGAGAGAGAGGGGGAGAGAGAGAGAGAGAGAAAGCGTAACCAACAAAAGAGGGAAAGAAAGAGAGAGAGAGAGAGAGGGAGAGAGGAAAGAAGAGAAGATACGACTGGAGACGATATGTTGCGTTCATAAACTGTAAAGGCGAAGGTAAAAAAACAGAATTCAACCTGACCCACGTATGCTGGGAGTGACACGGCGTGTGAGCTTTTTCCCCCTTCCCCTTTCCTCCTCACTCAGGGTCCAAAATCGCGTTTAAAGTGGGGGGCTGGGCTCCTAAACTCACTCCCCTCCAAAGCCTCCAAATCTATACTCCGTGGCCATAAAGATGCCCAAAATGCCACCTCAGCGGGCCCAAGCTGGGCTCAAACACACGCCGAGGAGATCTCAAAAGCAACCAGGATGGCCTCAAGACTGTCCAAGTGGCTTCCACGATGCCCCAAGAGGGCTCCAAGAGGACCCCCCCAGAAAAAACCCTGGAGGGGAAAAATCACCCCCGTCCGCCGGGAGAACGTACAAGACTGCCCAAGGGGCCCCAGTGATCGCTCCACGAAGCCCTCGAGATGGCCCGAGGCAGCCCAAGAAGGCCCCAAGACGGCCCAAGAGTCGCCCAAGGTGGCCCCAAGTGGGCCCCAGCAGGGCCTCAAGAGGGGCACAAAGAAGGGGCGACTCGAACTGACATGTCGAGCCCTCCGCCGCCGTCCCAAAGGGACCCCCCAGACCACCAGCAGGCGCCCAAGATAGGCCCCAAGCGGCCCCGAGGAGGACTAAAAGAAGCCCCCCCAATGGCCCACGGAGCCCCCAAGACGGCCCCAGGACCCCGAACAACCGTCCCAGCACACTCACAACGGCCTCCAGAAACGGGGCGCACCTGCGGAGTTCGCATTTCCTCGGGAAACCATTGCATCCTCGCTTCTTCGGTCATCTGCGGCCCATCCACAACCACTTTCGATGGCCAGCCCCGCTCGAGGAGCCTCGGCATGGGCGTCCAAAGCCCTTGCATCCTTACAGCGCGTCCTTATTATACGGGCTGACTGTATAAATCTGCATATGCGACAGAGAAGATAAGAGGGCGAGGGAAAGGGTCCTACATATACAAGTATGTGTAGAGGAGGATAGGTGTGAAATCCTCGTCGACCGTGGTTGATTATCTAGGAATGAAAACCTAGGTTCATCATCTTCAGATGATGCCCTATGGATTATTGTCCTGTGAAAATGGATCGGGTTCAGCCCCCTCTCCCGGCCGAATCGTTATCTTTTCCGGAAAAATCAACCTACGTTTGAATATTCAAACACGGAATGTGCTCAACGGCGCCCCCCGGGCTCAATCAATATCATTCCAGAATCATTAACCCGGGGTCAGGATTCCAAGAACATTATGAATTCGGATGTGTCATCTTCTGGAGATAATGAACCACTGTCAATATTCCGACATGAAAACCCGGGGGGGGACAAATATTCATGATCATTCTGGAATGACGAGAACCAGGCTCATGATCCCCAAGAAATTATAAACCCCAGCCCATAGTCCCGGAACATTATAAAACAGGGTTAATATGCTTTTGGGGTCGATTCCCCCAAAACATTATGAACCAGGGTTGTTTTCTTATGTTCCGGGGGAGACATTACGAACTCTGGTCAATAGTGCCAGAAAGTTATGACCCCAGGTTAATAGCTGTTTGAGGTCCATCCTGGTGTACAGAGAGGTGTACAAACCTGCATACGAAAATGTATGCATTTATGCATACATACATACATAAACCGCGCACACATACATAGACACATACATGCATGAACACAGACATGCATTCATTCATTCATTTATACATACATACATGCAAACATACATTACAATATATGCATACATGCATACAGTCATATATACATACATGCATGCATACATGCATACATGCATGCATACCTGCACAAATCATACAAACATACACACAGCCATGCATGCATGCATACAGGAGTGCATGCATGCGTGCATACAGACATACATACATACAAACATGCATACATACACACATACACACATACTAAAGATACGAAAAAATACCCATGTGTACCTACACATCGGCACACCTACCGGCAGGCCGACCTACCTACACAAATACATGCATGCGTAAACACATGCACAAACACACACGCACATGCATGCATGCGTGCATACATACATGCACGTATGCATGCGTACGTGCGGGTTCTGTTTATTTTATATATATATATATATATATATACACATAAACACGCGCTGACATACATGTATGCATACATGTATGCGTAGATGCATGCATATATGCATACACGCATACACATAGTCAGAAAGACCTGCATATATATATATATATATATATATATACATACATACGCATCCAAATATACATACATGCATACGCACATGACTGCATACATGAGCATAAGCATACATACGTACATACAGACACACATACGTACATGCACGCATATATGCATACACACATGTATGTCTGTTTGCATACAATCAACCATGCATACATACATGTATACATTCATGCATGCATGCATATATATTATCATTATGTATATATATATATACAAGACTTGAAGTTCGCTGCGTTTCGCTTCCACGTCTTGGTACATTGCGTTGTGCGTAGAAGGGGGGCCAGGCGGCAAGCGCGCAGCGGAAGGGAGAAGAGCATGTCATTCGATGAAGACGAGGACGCATGGGAAGAAATTGACAGATAACCTGGGGGTCTGTCACGTCGCGCCGCGCCTACTGGCGCGGTGCAACCCTGCGTGAGGAAATAGCGCTTCAGCAACTTGATCACTGATGGCAACGTTCGCTCATGGAAGCCATTGTGGGACGACCGTGTTCCGTCATCGTTCGTACTTGGCGCCATCGGGGGCCGTCGTGGCGCCTTCTTGGACCGGCTTGGCGCCCTACGTACATGCATACATGCATACAATGAACCATGCATTCATACATACATACATTCATGCATGCATGCGCACACATATATATATATATATATATACACATACATACATACATGAATGCATGTGTGCATGAATGCATGCATGCATACATTCAATTTAAACATACACCTGTATGCACACATATGTATATATACATACATACATATATACATGCATGCATACGTACAAACGTACATACGTACATACAGACATAAATACATACAGAACGACAGACAGACAGACAGACAGACAGACAAACATACTAGAACCACGCGCGCGCGCTTCGCGAGCGCCTGGGTTCTAGCATGCTCTAATTGTAGTTTAAAAATGAAAACATCAACTGTCGCACAGGTCGTGCCCGCGTGAGCTCCACCTGCGGCCCCAGAGACAAGCTTCGCTCGCGTTCATCCGCCCTTGTCGGCAGACCCCTCACAGGGATCGCGCCCCACAGGGAGTTCCACCTTCCAGATACAATGTTCGCATAATGGCACGCCCCCTCACGCGGATCGCTCCCCGCAAATAGCTGCATGTACTGCACCAGAGTGAAGTTTCATATCGTCGTCCCGCGAACTTCGGCACACCTCTCACACGGATCGTGGCCCGCGAAGGGTTCCATGGACGGCCCTGGACACAAGGTTCGCGCCCCGCCCCACCGTCTACTTCGGCACACCTCGCACACGGATCGTGGCCCACAGGGATCTCCACCTACGGCCCCAAAAGGCAGAGTTCGCACTGCGCCCCCCCTGGCTATTGCGGCACACCCCATCACGCGGATCGTGTTCACAAGGAGCGCCACCTAAAGGCCCAAAGACATTACAGCGCTCCCCCGCCAATGTCGAAAGACCCGTCACGCGAACAATGCCCCAGAAGGAGCTCCACTTATGGCACCAATTCGCAGATTCGCATGGCGTGCCTCCGCCCATGTCGAAACATGCCTCGCACGGGTCGTGCCTGGAGGTGGCCCACCTGTGGCCTTAGTGGAGGCGCTCGCGCGAGGATATCCCAATTATTCGGCACACCCTTCACGCGGATCGTGCCCTACAGGGAATTCGGGAATTCAGCACACCCGCGCACGCGTGCTCCGCACCAGCCATCTTCCCGCATTGCCCCGCGGCGTACAGTGTATGAAAAGAAGCCCGCGCCCTGCGCCAAGATGGGTGCCCAAGGCAGCCCTAAGAGATGCCCAGGAGACTCCAAGATGCCCCCAAGAGGCCCCCAAGATGCCCCCAAAGCGGCACCCAAGAGACCCCCAAGAAGCCCTAGAAGCCCCCCTGAGGTACCCAAGACGCCCCAAGCGGCCCCGGCGAGACGGCCAAACTCATTGATTTGACAAAGGCATCGGCCACATTTTGGCCTCCTGGGGGGAGGGGGGAACCCGAATTAAGGACCAAACCTCATTTGGTCGATCTCCTCCAAGATGGCCCCAAGATGGACCCCGAAGCTTCCAAGGGTGCCCAAGACAACCCCCGGAGATGCCCAGGAGGCCCTTAAAATGCCCCAAAGAGGCACCCAAGGGACCCCAAGAAACCCCGGAGGCCCCCCTGAAGCACCCGAGACGCCCCAAGAGGCCACGGCGAGACGGCCAAACTCATTGATTGATTACCTAACAGCGAAGACTGATAGGTTTCTAATGGGCTAAAAAAAGCAGCAGATGACTCCACAGGGGGGTCTGGGCGGGTGCCGGACAGGGTGCCGCAGAAGTCGTTTTAAGCCAACAGTCACACACTTCGTGCTCTTCGACCTCCCAGAACTCCATTCCCGGGCCACATTCTGAATGCCCGGAGCCAACTGTAGGCCACTTCGTGCTCTTCGACTTCCCAGAACTCCATTCCCGGGCCACATTTTGAATGCCCGGAGCCAACTGTAGGCCACTTCGTGGTCTTCGAGTTCCCAGAACTCCATTCCCGGGCCACATTTTGAATGCCCGGAGCCAACTGTAGGCCACTTCGTGCTCTTCGAGTTCCCAGAACTCCATTCCCGGGCCACATTTTGAATGCCCGGAGCCAACTGTAGGCCACTTCGTGCTCTTCGAGTTCCCAGAACTCCATTCCCGGGCCACATTTTGAATGCCCGTAGCCAACTGTAGGCAATTTCGTGCTCTTCGACTTCCCAGAACTCCCATTCCTGGGCCACATTTTCAGCAGGGGCAAGAGCACGACGAGGAGGAGGACGAGCAAGACCAGGAGGACGAGGACGAGCAGGAGCAGGACGAGGAGCAGGAGGAGCAGGAGAAGAAGGACGAGCAGGAGGAGGAGGAGGACGAGCAGGAGGAGGAGGACGACCAGGAGGAGGAGGAGGAGGAAGAGGAGGGGAGGGGGAGGACGACCAGGAGGAGGAGGAGGAGGAGGAGGAGGAGGAGGAGGAGGAGGAGGAGGAGGAGGAGGAGGAGGAGGAGGAGGAGGAGGAGGAGGAGGAAGAGGAGGAGGAGGACGAGGAGGAGGAGGAGGAGGAGGACGAGGAGGAGGAGGTGGGGGGAGAGCACCAGGAGGAGGAGAACGAGGACCACCAGGAGGAGGAGGAGGAGGAGGAGGAGGAGGAGGAGGAGGAGGAGGAGGAGGAGAGAACACCAGGAGGAGGAGGACGAACAAGACGAGGAGGACGAGAACGAGGACGACCAGGAAGAGGAGGAGGAGGAGGAGGAGGAGGAGGAGGGGAGGGGGAGGACTACCAGGAGGAGGAGGAGGAGGAGGAGGAGGAGGAGGAGGAGGAGGAGGAGGAAGAGGAGGAGGAGGACGAGGAGGAGGAGGAGGACGAGGAGGACGAGGAGGAGGAGGGGGGGGGAGAGCACCAGGAGGAGGAGAACGAGGACCACCAGGAGGAGGAGGAGGAGGAGGAGGAGGAGGAGGAGGAGGAGGAGGAGGAGGAGAGAGCACCAGGAGGAGGAGGACGAGCAAGACGAGGAGGACGATGGGATGCTGTCGACCCAGAGATGCTCCTACACATGGCTGTTAGGTTGCTTTGCCGGGATAATTTACTCAGGTGCCGGCCACGTTTGGCCTCCCGGGGGGGGGCTAATTTACTACGGCCCCTTATTTGGTCGATCCCCCCCAAGATGGCCCCAAGATGGACCCCGAGGCTCCGCGCGCAGGATGCACAGCAGCAAGATGTCTAAGTCTTGGCTGCTAAAGACAATAAACAAAAAAACACAAAGCGCCCCGCCGAAAGGTCGGCGACGCTGGCACAAGTGGAAAAGCGTCAGCCGATCGTGGCCGACGCCCAAGCGAAATCAAGCACTAATTAAGTCGGAGGCGAGACGCCCGGTCCAGGTGGGACCGGACCGCCACCACCAAGGGACCCGGGGGTCGGTCGGACGAGGGGGTGGTCGTCGGCGTCGTCGTCCCGCCGAGAGCGGGTCCGCCGCTCCCAGGCCGCCGCCGCCGCGTCGTCGCGGGGGCGCCGCCTCACCGCCGGGGCAAAGCCGCCGTCGTCCTGGGCCCTTCATGAGCCGCCGCCGGGATCGCCGCCGGGGCCGCCGCTGGGATCGCCGCCGGGGTCGCCGCCAGGGTCGCCGCCGGGGTCGCCACCAGGGTCGCCGCGCGGCGAGCCGCCGCCGGGGCCGCCAAGGCAACCCCACGCCGCCACCGCCGCCGCGTCGGAGGTCGCCCGCGCCCCTGCTGAGCCAGCGCCAGACACCTCGGTCGGGGGAGGCAGAGCGCGAAGGATGTCGAGGCCGAGGCGGCAAGCGGCGATCTGCAATCGCGCCCGACGCTCGACCGAGGGCCCAGCCGTGATCGTGATCCAGCCAGATTTGGCCGTGACCTCAGGTTGGGCCGCCCACCAATCCGAGGGGATCCTGAGCTCGGCGCCGAGGCGAACGCGCATCTCGGCGAAGCGCGGGCACGCAGCCCAGAGGTGCCGCGCAGAGCACAGGAGTTCAGGGCACCACGGGCACGTCTCAGCGCGTCTGCCCTGGCCGCGGCGGGTGGGAGTACGGACGGCCCCGCCACGCCAGACGCTCAGGAGCGACCGATCTTGCGGGGACAAACTGCGGCGCCATTCCCGCCAGGAAGGGGCGCTCGAGGCCTTCGCGTCGATATCCTCAATCCCCTCCTCGTCGTGCCGGGGCTGCCGGCCGCGGGGCGAAAGGAGGAGACACCGGGCCACGACCCGGAGGGCGTGCTGGCCCGCCTCGCCAGAAGCGTCGAAAACGCCCCCGAGCGCAGAATACCCGAGGAGAGCCGCAAGGGCGGGGGTGATCGCGGCGCGCCCGACGGCGCCCTGAGCCCGGGGGTCAGTCAGGCCATCCACCACCAACCACACCCCAGGGAAGGAGGCAGGCGGAGCCAGGCGAAGCCCGAAGGAAGCCGCGTGGTGGCTAACGGAGGAGCGCCACAGCGGGGAAACAGGGAAGCCGATCGCCGCTCTGAGCGCCTGCTGGGACGTCCCGAAAACGGGGTGAAAGGAGAGGCGTTCCGCCCACCACCTACGTTGACAACACCACGTGCAGCACGTGCGAGAGACGCTGCGGAAAGTGAGACGGGTAAGCTCCGTCGGGGGTGAGCAGACGAATTTGGCAGCCCAGCGCCAGTTGGACGCCACGCTTTAAATCCAGGCACGCTCCCGAATTTCCGCGGACCCAGGGAGGGTAGCGAGGCGCGCGGTGAGGTCCGTCACTCTGCCCCCACCGTCCCCGGGAAGAGGGACAGGGGGGTGGCCGAGGGCCGAGGAAGCGGCCCCCCGGATCCTGAGGTGCTCCACCGTCTCGGCACCTTCCCACAACTGCCGCTTGCCGCGATTCTCCACCACCCCGACGAGGGGGTGGAGTCCGGCCGTGGCGTCGAGGGCGCTGTCCCGAGGCCCCCAAGAGTGCCCCAAGAGGGCCTCTAGGGGCGCCCAGGAGTCCACAAGAGGCCCCCAAGATGCCCTAAGAAACTCCCAAGAGACCCCAAAGAGGCCCGAAGAGGCTCCCCCAGGGCACCCAGGACGCTTCAAGAGGCCCCAAGGGCCGGCACGAGGCCCCAAAGAGGCCCGCAAGAAGCAAGAGACATGCGAAGACTGGCTTCTATGCTCACCCTCCGCCCCCATTCTCTTGCAAAAGTACGCCTTCTCATCCTCCTACCTCCCTACTCATTCTATCTCATCACCTCCAAGCACTCAATATAATAACAATACCCCTCCATCCTACACGTCTGTATCTATAATACCCCTCCTCATCCTTTTCCGCACCTCTTATATTAGTGTTCATGATTAGTCTCACCTCTCCCCATCATCATCACTCTTCATCATCATCACACAATCCATCTGACTCATATCATCAGCCAGCATCATCAATCATCATTCATTCATCTAAGTCATCATCATTCAGCAATCGCATCATCAGCATCATCATTCATAATCATCATCATCATCATCATCATCAAACAACAACAACAACATCATCACTCATCAGATCATGCCATCATATGCTACACAACTCGTAATCCTCCTCTTCATAAGAAGACATAAGAAGCACGGCCAAGTCATACTCTACTCTCTTCGTCCTCCTCATACTATTCATACTTCATAGCCGATTCGATCCTATCGAATCCTCCCTCCCCCTTCCCTCCCTTTACTTCCTCCCCCACTCACCCCTCCCAACATCCCCCCTTCCTCCTCCCCCTCCTCCCCTCCTCCTCCTCATCCTCCTTTACTCTCCTTCCTCCCCCCTCATCCTATTTCTCCTCCCCCCTCTCTCTCCTATCCTCCTCCTCCTCCTCCTCCTCCTCCTCCTCCTCCTCGGGTTCCCTCCTCCATTCTTCCCCTTCCCCAGTCTTTCTTCCACTGCGTGCTCCCCCCACATGCTTGATCAGGGCAACTCGCCTGGACATGGTTCTGGATGGGCTAGTGGGGTTACTTTTTTGATTGGCGGCTCCAAGGACAGCTCCAGGGAGCGGGACGGTCTCGGCCGCTGGTGGGGTTACGCGAAGCGTGTAGGATAACCCGTCCCTCTTTGCCACTCTCGCACCTTGTGCGAGCTAGCATGGAAGGAGAGACTCGCGGAACTCTGCAGGATTGGGCTCTTGTCAAACATCGCCCCCGGACATCCCAACCAAAAATCCAATGAGCGCACAGCTTGACAGCGATGGGCCCAAAATTGCCACGAGAAAGTTGGCAACCTTCCCCTAAGCCCTAGGAAAACCGCACATGGAAAAGCAATGCCTCGAACGCTATCAGCCCTAGACATGGACGGTTTCACAGCCGCAAGTGAGAGATGATCATTATTTTTGACTGGCTCACTCGGCAAGACCAAATTCGCACCGCTCGGCGATGCCCCCTAACATATTCGCGTCCCCACGGGGTCTCCGAATGAAGCGCTGCCAAAAAATGATGGGATTCGCGCAGGCGGTGGCCTTGTTTGACTACGCCGTGTCCTCGTCGGCATCCTGAGTGAGGGCTGCACATCTGGACAAGTGGGACAGGGGGCCACATCCCCGATTCCTCCTCCTCCTCATCAACCTCATCACCATCACCATCACCATCACCATCATCACCATTATCAGAATCGTCATCATCAGCAGCGTCATCATCAGCATCATCAGCACCATCATTATCATCGACCGTATCATCAACAACAACAACAACAGCAGCAACAACAACAACAACAACCACAACCACAACCACAACAACAACAACAACAACAACAATCACTTTACCCGAACGCTCAGTGTTCTCACCAGTGCCAGGGTTTTCATGCGACGCCAGCCAATACCCCCACTTTGTGGGGGGGCAGTGTAAGCTCTACCAAATATCCACACGACTCTTCGCCACCACCCACACCCAGCTTCCCGCCCGATGACGTTCGGACACTCCACTTCGTGGCCTGCGGACGACCGTGGCTACTACACTGGCGTGGAGTACACACCCACAGAAGTTGTTAGGACAGCGCGCGCGGGTAGAAATTTTGAAAAGTCGTGCTGGTGTTTTTCGAGGACCTACGGTGCGATTCGTGTGATTTTATGATGCGCGGTGCTAAAATTCTTAAGAAGCCCAATGGTTTTGGAGATTTCGGCGTGCGCGCGCGAAGAAAAAACGAATGTGTCCCGCATGGTATTATTTGACAGGGATGATGGCCCTGGCAGGTGCGCAACCGTTGTCGCAGAAGTTCGAAAAAGTTGCTCGCAAAAGCCCGTTTGACAGAAATGTTTAAAAAGTGTTGGGTTTCCTACGAATCCGCAAGAGCGCGCGGGATGAGATTATGACAATTGTTTGTTGAAAAACCATTGGTTTTTTGATGTTTTTATGTTAAAATCGCTGCGAACACTAAGGTTTTGGAAGGATTTCGTCTTGCGCGCGCGAATGTCCACTTTACCTTATTTTTGCAAGGGATTCTTGAAATTTGATTATATTAGAACAAGAAATGTCATTTATAGTGTTTTTTGCAAGGGAAAACGGATTACAACAAAACAACCGGATCTGGATCACATCGTTTTACCTGAGGCTTCCTCACGAAAATGATGAAAATGTAGCTGCGGCCTAGGCGCGGAGGGGGGGTCGTGCACCAGGGGCCCCAACAATAATTATTATTAAGAAGAAATAATGTTCAACAACAACAACAACGGCAACGGCATCACTTCACCTCCTCCTCCTCCCCCTCAATCTCTATCTCCTCCTCGCCCTGCCCGTCATCATCCTCACATCAACCTGATCCTCCTCCTGCTCTTCGTTCTCCTCACCAACCTTCGGAGCAGGGCGAGTTGAGACAACGGCAGCTCAAAAACTATCTCCCGACCCCATCCAGGGGTTCAAACGCACAAGTTGTCCGAGCTGCGTCCAGCCGTGGCGACGAGGTGCCCCCCCGAAGGCCGAATACAGAAAAGGCTCAACTCGCCCTCATCCTCCTCCTTCCTCCTCCTCCTCGTCCTCCTCCTCCTGTTCCTGTTCCTGTTCCTCATCCTCCTCCCCCTTCCATTCCTTTTCCTTATAAATAAATTCTCCCTGTCGCAGCCCGAGGCCAGTTTTTAGGGCGGGCCGGGCGTTTCGCCAGAGACTTCCTCACCATGCATGATTTTAAACCTTACACAGTGGGAACAGTTTCACAGGTGGTGGGCGGGTGGTTTTCAAAATGTGGTTCTCGCCTTAGTGCTGCGAACATTCGTTTTAAACATAAGCATGAGTCTCACGGATTGAGGGCGGGGTGGTTTTCAAAATGTGGCTCTCGCCTGAGCGCCGCACACATTCGTTTATCAAAAGTTTGCAAGAGCTTCACAGAGTAAGGGCGGCTCCTTTTCAAAATGTGCCTCTCGCCTAAGCGCCGCGTACACTCGTTCCTAAAATTTGGAGGAGTTTTACGGATTCCCATGGTCAACGTACCAGACATTGTGTTTTGGAAGGATTCAGGATTATGCGGGTGCAACACTTATCTTGATTCGCGGCGTTGAAGTCCCACAAATGGTGTTTTGGCTCAGTTCCCTCAATGGAAATGAACCGGTGTAAGGGCCTATGAAGAGGGCGCTTGGAGGGAGGGTGAATCCCAACATCGTTGATGACTCCTCCCGCTCCTCCTCCTCCTCCTCCTCCTCCTCCTCCTCCTCCTCCTCCTCCTCTGAAACATACGCCCGAGACGTTCCGTAAGCGTATTGGCTTAAACCGGCATGTCCTTGGCGTCGTGCATTGCACCTCCACGCGGTGCTTGAGGGACAGCGTGGCTGCTCGGCGCGTCTTGCATGAGCGACCCTTCTCGCGGTGACGAAGCAAGGCCAACAGTCAGGCTGTTTTTTCGCCGTGCGCACAGTGGTATACCAATCGAGGAGACCATGTTCCTGTCGTTCCTGTCATGGTCATGTTCATCAAGGTCCGCCCCAGGCTGCAGGTCGTAGGAGGAGGTTCCGCGGGCTCCGAGCCCAAGCAAACCCTCCGAGCCCAAGCAAACCCTCCTCCCTGCCGCCTGGACGTACTTCAGCGTGCTGGCTGGGTGGGATTCCTGACCCTTCGCAGGTTGTTGGTAGATAGCGGTCAGTCTTGCGAAAGCCATGATGATCGGCGATGACACCGTTCTGCAATTTGCATGCTCATAGCCAGCGCGTGTCCTCGCGTGGTGCTCCTCGGCAGTGGCCAGCCGTAGTGAGAGCTCTGGTGATCGGCGTGCTGCCGCGCTGCATCGTCCATCACCTTGGTCAACCTGCGAGCATCCATGCGTGTTTTCAGTCAGAGGAGTACTTCACAGTGGAGGCCAGTCCACAAGAGACCTTCCACCAGAAACCCAACCCTGAGACCCCAGGACGTCCATTGATTCTTGGTTTGGGAACGTCACGCTTCCCATCGCAAAACCATCAAAACCCAAGAAACCCAGGGCACCTTGGAGGCAAGCAGGGTGTTTCTTGGCATGGGTCTCCACTGTACTGTAGCGGCCTCGTTCAGAGTGTACGTGGAGTCGCTTCCCCTGCTTTGACGCGGACTCATCTGCTGGCTGTCGCCGCGCACTCAGAATACCAGCAACAGGTCAACCGTTTAACTTCGTCGCTACATGTCCCCTCCTCCCCGCGTCGCTGGAAAAGCTCTGGGGGGTGGCCAAGGTGTGTGACTTGGCCGCCGGGAATCATCATTATCATGACCATCCTCGTGGTGCGCCGCCTGCTCCTCCTCCCTCCGCCTCCCCCTCCTCCTCATCCTCCACTTCCTCGCCCCCCTCCTCATCCTCACCCTCCTCGTCCTCCTCCACTTCGTCCTCATCCTGACGCTCTTGTTCTACATCCTCCACACACATCATCGGCATCACCCTCTTCAGCGTCAGCAGCAGCAGTCTGACTACCAGATTCATTACCATTGTCACCATCATCCTCACCATCACCATCATCATCCTTAGCATCACCAGCATCGTCGCCACCATCAGCCGCATCATGGCATTCATCGCTTCTACAGCACCACCATCATCATTTTCATCGCAATCCTTCTCAGCATCATCATCAGCAGCAGCATCATCATAATGAGCTTCATCATTGTCCATCAGCATCAAAGGCATCGTTCATCAGCATCATCCTTACCATCGTCATCGGCATCGTCCTCGTCACCATACACAACAACATCATCATATGCATCCCCATCATCGTCATCGTCATCATTATCAGCATCATCATCATCACTAGCATCGTCATTATCAATATCAGCTACGACTACAACTAGAACTACGACTACGCCTACTACCCCATCCACTACTACCACTCCTACGACTACTCCTACTACCACCATCCCCACCACCACCACCACTCGTACTACTACTACTACTACTACTACTACTACTACTACTACTACTACTACTACTACTACTAACTAATACTACTACTACTACTACTACTACTACTACTACTACTACTACTACTACTACTACTGCTACTACTGCTACACCATCATCGCCACTTGCAGCAGCATCACCGCACGGATTGGAAGGTCGGGTAGGGGATGAGCTCAAAATTGTAGAGTTGGAAGGAGAAGAGAAGGGGGAGGGGGAGGGGGACGGCGGCCTGGGGGTCCCAGGGGGCGGGAGCAGAAGGGGAGGGGAGGGGAGGGGAGCAGTGGAGGAAAGGAGCGGGGCGGGACGAGGAGGAAGACGGCGAGCGACGACGCCACGGAGGTGGAGCGGCCACACGACTGCACGAGACGAGGGCAACGAGCAGGCCGGGCGCGAGAAGCGGGGGGGCGCAGGAGAGAATGGCGGCGGCAGCGAGCAGCGAGTCTCCGTGGAGATGCCGCGGGCGTCGGTGCCAATGGCCTGGGCAGGAGCGCACGGCGGCGCGGCCTTCCTGCGGACATCCGCTGCCGTGCCCTGGGCACGCCGGGGCGCGTGAGAGTGCCCCGCCGGCCGGCCGTGGGGGGCAGGGAGAGGAAGCTGGCTCGATGATCCTCAGAACGCGTGCTAGCGCCAGCGTGCTTGCCCGTCGGGACCGGTCAGTACGAGGCAGGTGGTGCAAGGACCTCTACCTGCGGGGCCGAGCGGGGCAAGCACGCGTTGGGTTAACCCACGTCCTGGGGATCATCGACCGGCCTTTTCAGAAAGCGGCGGGGCTTCTCGGAAGCCGTCCTGCCTTCCGAGAGGTCCGTCTCTGTCTCTGTGGGGGGGCCCAGAAAACGTGTCAGAAGGCCGGAGGCCTTCCGAGCCTTCTGAGAAGGCCCACCCCCTCTCGTTTCCCCCCTGGGCTCGCTGCCGAGCCTGGTAGGATCGCTCGGGTTTTCTGGGGGGCGCCCTCCCTGGCGCTGAGTAAGCAAAACTGCGCAAGCATAAACTTTCGGAGGACCGCGCGGATTTCTTGGATTGGAACTGGGGCCCCCTGGCGGCGCCTCCAGTGCCGCCCCTGGCGCGACATGGTGGGTGGTCCATCGCAGATCCAACAAATCCTCGCTGAGCTGCCCCACCGGGGCCCAAGAGGCCTCCCGAAGCCCGCAGGAGGCCCACAAGAGGGCCAAAGACGAGGCCCTCTGAGAGGCCTCCCGAGCCCCCAAAGAGGCAACGCAACAGCCGTGCCACGGTGCGGCCATGCCACGCTACAGCTTCGTGGCGCTGCTTTCCACAAGGCCCCGTGATGCTTCTACCGAGCCTTTGCTCGGCGGCGAGCGAGGGTGGCAATGAGAAGGGAGAAGGCCTTCGCAGAAGGCGGCGGGACTTCTCAGAAGCCACCGCGCCTAGGTCGCCCGCGCCTTCGGGCAGGCCCGGGAAACATCTCAGGAGGGTGGGGGGAGGTCCGAGCCTCCCCGCCCTTTCTCACTTCCCCCCCCCCCTTGGGCTCGCCGAGGAGCGATGCTTCTGCCGAGCCCGTGCTGGAGAGCTCGGCGGCGGCGCGCACGAGTGGATGGCGGGAGGAGAGAGGCCTCCCAAGAAGCCACGGGGCCTCCCCGTGGGCACGGGCCCTCCTGGAAGCGACCAGAGGCCTCTGAGAAGGCATCCTATAACTAGTGGACCCAGGGACGCACAAAGAAACAGATACAAATCCCGGGATTCTCCATGTGTTCCACATTTCCTGAATGTTCGTCTTTCTCCTCCATTACCATATTTTCCCCATTTGCCGGGGAATCGACGGTTACTTACGTCCGTGTGCTTTCCCCCTCCTGGTCTCAGGGGCCTCCGGGCGCTTCTAAGAAGGCCCCTGCCTGCTACGAAGCCCCTCGGGCTCTTCGACGACCCCCCCCCCTCCCGCCACCCCCCTCACTCCGCGGCACGAGGTCCGCGCGCGGACCCGGTGGCCATACATCTGCCCCCGAGCACCATCCGCATCCGCCTGCGCACCTCCTGAGGATGATCGACCCTCCTGCGCGCCGCCGAGACTCGGTGGAAACCACCACGCGCGTGCACTCCTCGATGCTACGCAGGAGCGACGGCGGGGCTCGCCGCAGGCGGCAGGATACACGGCCACCAGACCTCCAGCGGGCGTCGGCGGAGGGGGGGCGGGAAGGGGAAGACGCAGGAGGAGGATGGGAGGAGGTCGAGGACGAAGAAGAGAAGAGGGTTGGGGGGGAGGGGGGAGAGGATGAGGAGGAGTTGGAGGGGGAGGGGGAGGAGGGGGGAGGGAAGGGATGGGAAGGGGCGGGGGGAGTTAGCTTATGAATGCTTTTCTGGATGACTTGAGCCCCGATGTCGCGGAGCATGTCACTCTGTCAGTTCATTCTGAACACTCTACTCTGTCAGCTTATAATATCCTCTACCTAACTCCAGGGGCCTGCTGATATCCTTACTCTGATCCTGCTTCTTGAGGATAGGTAGAAAGACACAGGGCGCTGATCGGCGCCTCAGATAACTCGACTAAGTCGATCTCCTGGAAGTTCATCTTCACGCTGCTGTTCCTGATCGTGATCGGCTTCTCGTTCTGCTTCTTGATGTTCGTAGTGGTGCTTGTGGAAGTAGTCCTGGTCAAATCAATAATACCTGTCGTCATGTACTGCATCAACTTCGGGAAAGTTCCCACCTTCGTTAAACCATCCATAATCATCAGATCCGTAGGTAGGTGAAATACCCGCATCATTCTGCCACTCACGCGATCCTCACGCAATGAGAGAATGCACAACCTCTGCGTCTTGTCCACTGGAATACCTTTCTGTCCAACTATCAATTGATATAGGTCAAAACAATCCGTTCCCATTTCAACCGGCAAGACTGTCAATCCTTGATCCTGTAGGTTCATCAAACCTTGAAGTGTCGTCGTAGATGTCCTGGTGATCCATGGTTTCATCAGTAGTTCTGTATAGCGTAGAGCCACATACTGAGCATTCTGAGATCCACCAACTGCCGACACTGCCTCTGCATGAGATGTTGAGTAGCTGATCCGCTTGCCTTTCTTAGACGTGCCTGACAAAGGGTGAGCCTTGGAAATGAACTTGCTGTAATCATCTGGATGAAGCAAGCCATCTTTAGTGATTCTGATTGGTCTATCTTCGCATAAGAACAATCCCTGCGCTTCATGAGCATAGCTCGTTACCCTTGAACCATGACTCGCATCTGTGATAGAAGATAACTTAAATGGACCATGTAGACGATGAAAGTACAGACCCATGCCATGCCGATTCCTCTTGGTTCGATCTAAGGTCAGAATCAAGGCCTTCATGTCGGCGATGGTCGGCTTTGTCTGCTTGGATTGAAGCTGCGTCGTGGCTGCACTGACGTCCCATCTGGTCTGCAAAAGATGCAACAGTTGGCAGCACAATGATCGATACTCATGAATCTCCTCCTTCGTGCAGAAATCACTGTCTTGCTGTAGTCGATGCTTCGATATCTCGGGAGCCTTGATCGTGTCCAGGTACGCGTCTTGATTGATGAAGATGCAGCCGTTGGATGTACGAGTGTACTCACATCCCAGATGAGTGAATGGCATCTTCTTCCTCGTGATCTTACCAAACTTCTTCTCCATGAGCTGATGTCCCCAGTCTAGCCAATCTTGTCGTCCGACTGGTAGTAGATCGTCGACGTGGAGCGTAGTGGCCATCATCAACTCATCACCTGAGTGCCAGGTGAAGCAGTTCTCGTCAAGCAACGCCTTTGCTCCTGACATGTCGTCGCATACGTACAAGGTGAAAGCTGCCTGCCACAACAAAGGTGCGTCGACCAAGCCCGGTACAGGTTTGATGCATTCTAGAACATACAGATGCGTCTCAGAATCGGGAATATCAAATGTCTTTGAGAGATCTCGCAGATGTCGCCACACGTTGGCTGGTGGAATGATGTACACATGTCTTTTCTCGCGTATGTCCAGGCCGAGCTTCTTCGAATTGCGAGTCAGCTCCTCAAACTTCAGACCTTGAAGAAAAGCAGATGATATGTCCCATGATTCAACTTGAAAGTTGTCGTGCGTCTGTGCTAGGGATATCATCATGCGTTGACTGACTCGAGCTGCTGTGGAGCTATGACGATCCACCGCGTACTTTTGATTATCCTTGAATCCTCGACCACACAAGCGTGAACGTAAGACCCATTTTTCTTTCCACATCCATCTGCGCACCCATACGGAATCAATGAAGTTGTCCGTCGCACAGTCTGTCTTCAGACGAGGGCGAAAGCAGTCATGCTGCACGTAGGAACTGATCTCCTTGTGATCTGCGGGCTCGATGAGATCCCACCATTTGGCAAAGTCTTCCTCGGCCACAAGATGTTCCGATTGTGAAGCGTAGATGGGGATACACATGTCTTCAAGGATATCATAGTAGAAACACTCGGCCTCGCCCGTGCTCTCCACTACGAACATGCTGTCGGTCCTCTTCCATGGGAGCGTCGCGGGCGAAGCGTCATTCACGTGATGCTTGTAGTCCTCGAAGTCGTCCTTCATGTGACTGACATCCTGATACAATTGCAATAGGTCCAGGGTTCCCGAAGTACAGGATGTCCTAGCCTTTTCCGTGAGGAAGTGCGCATAGTGATGATCGTCGTGCCTTGAATCGTGGGAGCTGTCCTCTAGAGGTACAGGTTCTGCGTCTGATTCCGGGTGTTCAAGATCTGGAAGCGGTACAGGTTCGTCATGTCGTCTGGTCTCAGGAAGAGGTAGGGGCTCCTCTCCTGCATCGTTGTGCTTCATCATCTTGTGCATCGGTTCCATGCTACCAGACGTGTCGATGTCTCGCTTCTCAGGTAGGAGTCGTTCATACCGTTCGTCTTCGGATATCAATCTTTCCAACTCCTCAACAAGATCACGTGAAGAGTTCCCTGCAGTCTCATCCTGTGCTTGTGGATAGAGAGGTGCCTGTCCAGGATTGATCTCCTCGGTGATGCTGCTCATTTCCTTCGTGAAATCCTGATCTTGTTCCACTGTCTGTGGTGCATGTTGAACCTGTTGAAGACGTGCTTCATGTTGTCGATCGGCTTCCTCCATAATCCTGCTCATCTCCTGTGTCAGATCCATGCTCGTATTGTCCTGATGCTGTTCTGTCTGTCGCATGCTCTGATCAGATGGTGCTGAGATCAGATCAGACTGTGTCATACTCTGATCGACTTGCTGCATGCTTTGATCGATCACAGTGGGCTGTAAGATCACAGGCTGTAGTTGAATAGGATACCACTGTTGCGCAGGTACTGGTGGTGCAGGATGGTGTGAGAGAGGAGGTACTGCCGATGAGGTAGAGATTGAACCGTTGCCGCCAGATGCCGTAGGTACGACCGAAGTATGAGATAAATCGGACATGCTGGATATTGAGTCTGCTGCTTGTCGTGGTGGTGTTGATACATCATGCCTCACGTCCAGGTCTATCAGAGGTGTCTCAGCAATCCTAACCTGACGATGGTCGGGTGTTCGATAGACTGACTCACGACTGCTGTCCTTCAGTGCTGATCGTGGCGTCCG